CTTTAGGTTGTAATGGGTGCAAATGTAGTAGTAAACATGGCTGACAAATTTGCCAGCTTGATGGTCCCATCCTGAACCCAGGTCATCTTGCAGGAAATGTGCATGCATCAGGTTTAGACCCTCCTATGCAAGTGGTGAGTAGCCCAACAAAGGCTTTTTAAAGACCTGTAAAGACCCCAATCACTGAGAACTTGATCATTTGTCTAAAAGTGGCTGCCCAGTGGCAGACATGATGTCCAGTAACTCTACTGAAGCGCTGCCCACATTTCTGGCCATTGGCCACCATGTGGAAGGTTTCCCTTTCCAAAATTCTGGTGTAGCTGTTAAATCCACATTTCATCTCCAACACTTGTACTAAGTGGGCCTCCCATTGCTTTTCCAGGTTCGTGAGCATACCTGCTGTCTTTAATTGAATGACCAACCTCACCTCTGACCACCAACTGGGAAAATCACCGTCAGAGACTATTCCCTACACAGTGCGGGGTTGTGATCTCCATCTGATCCTGATGATTAAGTCCCAGCTCAAAACCTAAAATTTTGCCTTTAAATATCAGGGGAGACTACGAGCTCTTCATTTTAATATACAGGAACATCTGGCAGATGTTAGTAAATAAATGAAAGTTTAAAAACTAATGCTGTACAGTCCCAGTGGTAATATGCTATTGGCACAAAATGGGCAGGCCCATTTGCATAGTTCTTCGGTGACCCAGGTAGAATCAGACAGTACAGAAGAAGACCTTCTGCCCATCAAGTCTGTATCACCAAAAAGTACATTAGATCTACACTAGTCCCACTTCCAGCAAGTGTAGGGAGCATACTAGTTGTGGGAGAAGAACATAGTTTGGGTGTTTAAAGGGATGAATGTAAAAATATACAAGCCTTTATAAAGACATCTTAGCCCACAAACCAGTGCTCACGCAAACCAGAGAGGCACAGGATTAATGAATGATCACCAAACACTAGAGATAAGAACACCTTGAGGATGACTTGAGGCTGTGGTTGACAGGTTCTTTTTCTGCTGTGCCATACTGACAGTAGGTGTCCTTACAGCCCATGGTGCTATTCTGTCTTTTGTTTTCTACAGGGCTTGAGCCATGTGAAGACAATTCCCTTAACTGTCGTGATATAAGTTGTGACATTTATGAGCATTGTGCATTTTGGATTTTTGAATTTTGAACAAGTGGCATATGGGTTTTCTGTGTATCTGAAGGATTTTATTGATTAACTTACAAGTATTTCTGAAACCATAGTGATTTGTTTTAAAACACCACAGTAGAGAACAACTTTCTTGAGAGTAATGAGGATTAGTTTACAGTGGAACACTTTACAAGTGAACAATAAAGTGTATTAGGTTTTCAGATAGAAGATTATGGAATTTTAGGGAGATTTAGGGGAAACACCCATAGTCTGGATGAAATGCTATTCAGTTTCAGTTTGGGGGGTTGGTGTTTGCAGAAATCTTGACTGAAGCAGGATGTGTAAAACATTTTTTTCTTATGAAGGGGAAGTGGATAGCTTTAGGACTGTGTAGGGAAAAGACAAAAGGTGATTGCTTAAAACCATGAAGGGATTATTTTAAGCTGAGAAAGTCTGAGCTACATTGTATGAAGGCTGCAGAAAGAGGCTGTCAGATTCTGAAGATGGACATGGAAGCTACAAGTGAAGTGTACCTTTTAAGTATGAAATAGAAGGGAATTCTCTGTGGAGTGTGTACTGTAAAGAAGGGTTTGTGGGATTATTAGGATTGTATTTTGCTGTGTGTTTCAATGTTGTGTGTTACATAAAGTAGTTTAGCCTGTTCTATTTTATCTTTTATTTAAGATAAAAAGCTTCTGTTTTATTGTTAATATCAAATCTGCAATGTTGCATGTTGTATTTCACTGAAAAGCTACCTCATTAAAATCAAAGAAAAAATAAACTGTGATCTATTAAATAAGTTTTCAATCATAACACAGTGCTGAGTAGATTTGGCAAAGGTGGATTTTTGCTTGTTTAGCCAATCAGACTTTGCTTCCTGATGGTCACCTTTCTTGTGCAATATCCCATAAACATGTCACATTATGTTTCTGCTCTTTTTGAAGAAACATCACATATAAATTTGAATTGAATTTTCATGAATATGCGCACCATTGTTTTTTTTCTGTCATTAATTACCTGGAGAGCTAGAGCCTCCAGCAGTACTAATTAATTGCCCAAGTGAGATATGGTCACAGCTGGCTGTAGATATAGGGTAGACAGTACTGGTAGCTTGGTGTTAATTCATAACATGCAACTGGACTTGCTGTTCCTTTAGTAGGTCTTCCTAATCCCTCAGATAGTGGAGTTCCAATTGGAAGCCCATGATTGTGGGTATTGTTGTGACTCAGACTAGACTCCCTCAAAATATTTCAAGAAGGTAGCCTAGACCCTATTTTTTTTCTTATTTTAAAGGCAGATGTAAATGCAAATTCAACTGATCAGACTACTAGACATTGAGCAAAACACAATTTATTCAAACACTGTAGCTAAAATACAACATAAGAACTTAGAATAACTTAACTCTATTAGAATACTTAACAAAAGAATGGATATAATAACTATTACTAATTAACATTCCATACACACACCACTTGGCAAAAGGGCAAATTCAGAAATCATATTTTTTCACTTGTAATACCTGCAGTAGGAAAAGAAACCCCAGCTTCCAGCTGTAATGGAGAGAGAGGAAAGAATTGCTTCTATTTTCTCAAAACTCCAGAAGCTTCTGCTGGTTTTTAAAGCGAAAAACAAAAAAATAGAAATCCTGGTCTGTGAGAGCTGGCCACACCCAGCCAGGTTGCTTCTATTGTTCCAACTTTTAAAAAAAGGCCCCACAAGATGTTTACGTTAGCACAGACTGTTTGGAACCTCTCATTCAATCTCTCTCTTAAACGAAGCCAGGACAAAATAGACTTCTTAAAGCCACAGCCTCATCCCCGTATGGATGGTGCAGGGAAGTAAAATTAAAGTAAAACTAAACATAGGAGAATGCAAGTGCCTGGTGAAAATATTGAAATACAAGCCAAGTGACCTGAAACCTGCTTCAAAAATCTTTCTTATCAATGCAATCTTGTACTGCTCAGCACAAAGAAATCTTGGATTGTCCTTTTTAAAATATGTTGATTTGGTTTACATGGCATACAGTAAGTGTAAAAAGGATATTCTACGTGACACAATATGGTATTTACATATTTTAATGAAGTTGTCCAATGTTTCAAGCAAGATCTTCCTGTACCCCTCTCCCTCTCTCCCACCCTGAGAAATGTCTGTCATATATTAGGGATGGAAACTTGCTGTTCTGCATTTCCACTAAACTGTGCTTTCTGGTCGAGAGCACAGGAGGCGCTACAGGGCTGAGCATTTTTTATGCGTTGACTTTTCTGCCACGTTTCAATTATAAAATATTCCAATAGAAGTTCAATTGTTGTAAGCGATTGAAATGCACAAGTAGAAATTTTTGCAGTCATAACAATTCCACCTTATAGATGGAATTAAAAATGACTCTTGGCTTTACAAGGAGTAATGAAGTGTTGAGGATTACCAACAGAAAGAAGGTAGATAGGTTTAAACTGTAATTATTAATGGCTGGCAGTACAGCTGGCCACATGGATTGTAACTTATCAAATCTCACAATAGACGTTGATCGTGCCAGTTAAACGATACAGGACTTCAGTAGCTTGGACTTGCAAATGCTTGCTTATGACTGCAGGGCTGCAGGTTCAAATTCCCAGGCTGTTTGATACTGAGCTCTGGTTCCCTTCATGGTGATGATTTTCATCATTGAACAGCTATTAGGTAGAATTATAACAGAAAATTCTGCCTTGGGAGGGAAGGCTGACACTTCTGCGCAGTGCTACAGGCACAGTTCTTTGCCATGGATCAATTAAGATATATATGTGCAGATTGCCTGACCCTTTGTCAGAAAGAAATTCAGCATCCAGATCTCCACGTTGTGTATTAGTGAACTCAAACTGGATTTCCCAGTTGGTTTCTTTGCAAATTGTGCATTGTACAGAAGCTCAGCAATGTAATTCCTAAATATTTTTGCAGTTCAATCAATGTTGGAATGAAAATGAGCTGTAGAACAGAAGAGTAAAGAGGTAAAAATGTTTTAGAAAGTAAATTTGAACAGCCAAAAACAGTTAGATTTTACCAAATGTTCAACTCCTACATCTGAATACAGATTTTGCTTGGATTCCATTCTCTTTGCCCCTCCTTGTAGGTGTTTCTTCCCTGAGGCACTAGTAGCCATTTGTATGCTGTTGATTATAGGCAACCAGCCCTCATGAATTTATGGCTTTCCCAGCAAGTTTCGATTAATACATTTGGAGCAATGAACTAACTTTGTAAATAGGACACAGCACAATGGGATGATAGTACAAAGATAATGTTGCTGGACTCGTAATCCAGAGACTTGGACTAATGCTCCAGGGACGTGAAATTCTGAAGGAATTTAAACTCAATTAATTAATAAATCTTCAGTTGAAAACTAGTCTCGGTAACAGTAATCATGAAACTGTAGGATTGTTTTAAAAAACCCATTGGTCTCATCTTTCGGTGAGAAAATCTACCATCGATTCTCTGGTGTGACCCCTTAACTCTCCTTCAAAATGGCCCAGCAAACCACTCAACTGTAAGCAGCTCACCACCACCTTCTCAAGGGCAATTAGGGATAGACAATAAACACCCGCTTTCCCATTGATGCTCATATCTGAAGAATAAATTAATAAAAGACTTGGACACATGTTACACCATCCCTTGATGTCTTGAGATGTTATAGGTGGGGTTGCATTGATAATCCTGCTGAGTATTTTTAACCAATATATTATTTCTTTTTAACTACACTTTAACTTATCTCAGTTGTGGTTTTGAGCTGCATACCATAATAAAGACATCTGAACATTGGCTATAAAGATGCATTACTGTATTTCCTTCAATATTGCATTTTGCTTATGAGCTAATGAGTATTTTTATCTTAACAGAGTAAAAAGCAAGAAATTCCACGTGACGACCAGGGACCAACCATCAAAAACTTAGATTTCTGGCCTAAACTGATTACACTGATGGTGTCGTGCATAGACGAGGATAAGACAGCCTATACCCCTGTCCTAAACCAGTAAGTAAAGTCAGACTTTAAGTGTGTTTCAGATACACATTCAAAGGATAAACAAGAAATTGACTTTGAAGTGTGATCAAACCTCAAATTCTTGTTGCCAGTAAAGTACCAGAATGAGATCAATGTCAAGGCTAAAGATTACAAATAATTTCACAGTGGTGCAGTTTTGTTTCTTCAATTCAGCATATACATTACAACTGCAACTGAATAAAAGGATGCTATAAAATTGATAACAGGGAATGGTTGCTGAGCAGAAATACTTGGATTCCATTTGGTTGCTTTCTGAAATCAAAATTTTATTAGGGAGAATATTTATAAAATTAGCTATTTGTTGTTCCTGACTTAATTGTAGAGAGCAAACAGAGAAAAGCTTCCACCTTCCCAGCCCAATGAGAGAATTCATGGATAAAAACATATCAGTTCCATCGCTTCTAACTTCTGTTAATCCTTCAAACAGGCCACTAGCTACTTAGGAATTGAACCCTTGAGTCATGGCCTTTTTTTGCACCGTTATTCTACGATAACAAGTCATTGTAAGATGCAGGATGTTATTAAATATACAAGAGCTGAGAGCTGATTGCACAAATCCAACTGGTGCCAGAATTAGCTCAGAATCTTCAATCCTTTTTCTCTGAAATGGAGTTCCACACTTCAGACACAAAAATAATGTAATTCATAAACGGGCAATTCTTGGCCAGTAAGACGCAAATTTAACCAGGCAGTTAATATTGGTTCAGAGTCACACATTGGTGTAGTTGCCATTAAAATTACAACTGCACTGTTTATACTCCAGATGAGAAAACTATAATGAGGATTTTGGATGATTTTGCCACAAAGGTTTAAGCTATCTTGTTTTGATATTCATCAGAATATCTGTGTCACAGACTGCCAGTTACACAGTACTCAAACCTTTCAGTAGGAAAGGAATGCTATAAACTCAGTAAATTGTAGTAATCTGAAGTGCTAAAGGTGTTTGTCATATTTGTGAATTAGGCTGATAATTATAATGTTATATCAATCCTGCTTTCTTTAGAATAAAGAACTGGGCGCAGTTTGTGATTTCAAATAAAATATTTTATGCTTTTGCTAGTTGTAAATGTCCTCAGGAAGATTTTATTTGGTGTGGCTTTATTGTTGCATTGCAGCCAATGTGATGGTGAATAACAGAGGGAACGTTAACCCTGCAAAGTCCTCCTTACCAACAACTGGGGGCTTGTGCTGAGACTGGGAGAACTGTCCCACAGCGTGGTCAGGGTACAGCCTGATATAGTCATACTCTTCTGTGTGGGACAGCTGCATTTCCTTGCAAATGTCCAGGGGGATCTTTCATTGTCAGGCACTAAGGCCTCCCCCCAGAATTAACTGCCAAGTCTTGGCCCTTCCGCCTAATGACGTGACAACCTCCCTTCCTGCCATCACTTAGCTATGACTTGGGTTCCTCAGCATGCGCTGACCTCAAGTTGTTGTACTACCCACAGCTTCCACAGGTGATGCTGCTGAGCAATGCTTCTACTTGAACAGCAACTCTCGATGGTTGGGACTTTTTTTTTCTTTATTCATTCACGGGATGAAGGTGTCGCTGGTTAGGCAGCATTTATTGCCCATCCCTAATTGCCCAGAGGGCAGTTAAGAGTCAACCACATTGCTGTGGGTCTGGAGTCAGTGTAGGCCAGACCGGGTAAGAATGGCAGTTTCCTTCCCTAAAGACATTAGTGAACCAGATGGGTTTTTCCAACAATTGACAATGGATTCACGGTCATCATTAGATTCTTAATTCCATATTTATGTTGAATTCAAATTCCACCATCTGCTGGGGTGGGATTCAAACCCGGGTCCCCAGAACATTATCTGGGCCTCTGGAATAACAGTTCAGCGATAATACCACTAGGCCATCACCTCCTCCAACTCACTTCCAGCCCCAGGATCTGTTACCCTGGAGAAGGCCTGCTGTGAGGTTATCGACTTTGGTAGGAGGAACAAATGTGTTGAGCATTTCTTTAATGGTGAGAGGTTGTGAAGTGTAGATGTACAAAGGGACCTAGGTTTCCTTGTCAAAAAGTGACTGAAGGCTAACATGCAGGTGCACCAACTATTGGATAAGTCTTTATTGCAAGGGGACTTGAGTAGTGAAGAGTTGCTTCGAATATGTAGGAGCTTGGTTAGACTGATCTGGAGTATTGTGTGCAATTTTGGTTTCCTTATCTCTGGAAACATATTGTTGCCATAGAGGTAGTACAATGAAGGGTTATCAGACTTGTTCTGGGGATGGTGGCATTGTCTTGTGAAGAGAGATTGGACAGACTTGGCCTGTATTCTCTAACATTTTAAAAAAAATGACAGTTAATCTCAAAGAAAGGGATAAGAGTTTGCAGCTGGTTGGACATCTAGAATCGGGGGCACAAACTAAAAGTAAAGGGAGTGTCATTTTGGTCTCAGATGAGATATATTTTGAATCACAGCGTTGTAAACCTTTGGAATTTTCTACCATAGTGTGTTGAGGAAGCTCAGACTTTGAGTGTGTTTAAAGTATGACCACCAGTAGCATAGAGGGTTGTGAGGATTGGGTGGGTAAAAGGCATTGAATTATTCATTCAGCTGTGGGGCAGGTTTGATGAACTGAATGGCCTACTCCTGCCCTGTGTTCCTATCCCAAAAGGAGGTATCCAGAGCTCTTGCCCACTCTCCAGGCAGCAGGTGATATCTGTGTTGATTTTCCTAAATTCCACTCTGAGTGCTTTTGATATTACCACTGGAGTTTAATCAGCATGCATCATATCATAAAAGGAAAGTTTATTCATCTAGAAACATCCTTTATATTTGACTTGCAGAGTTATTTACAGCTGTTTAGAAAGAACGTCAGCTTTTCGACAGGTCTATCCCCCTAGGCCCCATTAGTGAGCGCAGCTGGCTAGTTAATCATTAAAAATACATTGGAGCACTGAGGATCAGTGTGGCTCAAATATCAGATAGCCAAGCCTGCCACAGCAGTTGGCTCAATGCCTGCTTCCTATTCTTTCGATGACAAGCAAGACAAATGAGTGATTTGGGACTGCCATATTCCACCTAAGGCAGTCTGTCTGCTAAGTCAAATAACATTATATACAGCAAATTACGCATACATATCAAAATAACGCGGAGTGAAGGATTGCTGTGCTGCTTAATGACTAACAGTGAGTATGTCCCCCTGGCTGTTACTTTTCTATCGGAAAACAAAAATATTGTGTAACTATTAAGATGAACAGAATTCTTCCTTATAATTGACTATTATAGAATATAGACTAGAATCTTTTGTGAGATTCTCCAGTAATAACTTTGGATGATAGACAAGAAAGTAGAAATGATACAGCACCAGCATACTGGCACAAGTTATATCAATCCCTACTCCAGAACAGGTAGGCCAATCAAAACTGGCTCTCGAGCTTCAGTTGAACCAGACCTGTGAGCAGCAAATTCCCTGTAGCTCTGCAGTGATATAGGTGCCAGTTCACATGTTCACGCTGCAAGAAGCCTATAGGTATCTATTGGGTTTGGTGACAGAGCAGGAGGAATTGCAGTCTCTAATCCTCTTGGTAAGGATCCTTAATTTGCCTAGATAAGGATCTGGTTCTGCTGAATACAGTAGACCTAGTTCCGGCTGATCTCCATATAGTTAATTTTCTGGAAAGCATCCAAAATCAGTATTACACCCCTATCTATGTGTAAAAAGGTTCCAGTACCCTGTTAGGTATTGGATGCCTATTCTAAAGCATTTCCAATATGACATACTGTCCACCCCCGTATTGAATGTTTCTGTGTCCGTTTAGTGCCTGTAAAAGGGAATAGTGCTGTACATTTTGTAGACCTTTATATCAGATATGATAGCAGCCAGAGTAATAATATCACTTTGCTTAGTCCTGGTCGGTGAGGTGGCCACTTCAGTCAGCTATTAATCCAGCTCATTTACATGTCATCATTGGGTTCATCATTACTAACATATGGGCATTGAACTCAGACTGGAGGGTAACTCAAAGATTTGAAGTCACCGCTTTCTCATCACAGTTGGACCAATATCCATTATACTGTACAGCAAGCTCTAATCTTCCATTAGCCCCCAGTTTGAAGTTTACCTCATTTGTTTTGATAAACATCATGCTGAGGCTAACAAACTGATATAATATGCATTTTTTAATTAGCTGAGAGAAATTCTCTCAAATAAATTTATTTGAAATTAAATATGACAGAGCAGAATAATGTGATAAATAAGATACACGTATATGTGTATCATTTTTGTTACATTGCGTTGATGACATCTCATATTTTAAAATAAAAAGAGCTCCAGCTTTATCTTGTGGTTTAAGCCAGTGCTTGCTACCCACACATTGGGATAGTGGTCTGAAGTCTCTAGGGCTGTAAGTGCCTGAATATACACTGCCCCGAGGCTGCTTGCTTCTTATCAGAAAGTAAAGCTATCCAACTCCTAAGCTAAGATAACACAGTGTAGAGCTGGATGAACACAGCAGGCCAAGCAGCATCAGAGGAGCAGGAAGGCTGACGTTTCGGGCCTAGACCCTTCTTCAGAAACCATTTCTGAAGAAGGGTCTAGGCC